ATGCATTCTTTTCTATATTGGTAGATGAATCACGTGATGTTTCAATAAGAGAGCAAATGGCAGTGGTGTTGCGTTATGTGAACAAAAAAGGGCAAGTAATTGAAAGGTTTGTGGGTGTCCAATATGTCTCTGATACGACTAGTAGCAAATTGAAAGAGGCAATTGAGCAGTTGATTTCTTCAACAAATTTGAGCATGTCTAGGCTACGAGGACAGGGGTATGATGGCGCTAGTAATATGAGAGGTGAGCTCAATGGTCTTAAAACACAGATTTTGAGAGAATATCCTCAAGCATATTATGTCCATTGTTTTGCACATCAACTACAACTAGTTCTTGTAGCCGTGGCAAAGGGAAATGAAAACATTGCTACTTTCTTCACAACGGCTAGTAGTGTCGTTAATATTATTGGAGCATCGTGTAGGCGTCGTGATGCACTTAGAGAGCAACAACAAAAAGATATTATGAAAGCTCTTGAAATTAATGATCTTGAAACAGGGCAAGGGTTAAATCAAGAGACTACTCTTAAACGTCCTTGTGATACACGTTGGAACTCACATTATGATACTTTACTTAGTATTAATACTATGTTTCATCCCGTGGTGAAGGTGCTTGAATGGATTGTTGATGATGTCAACCAAGATAATTTAGGTGAAGCAAATAGGTTGTTAAAAGAAATACAAACTTTTGACTTTGTGTTTCACCTATATTTGATGAGATTTATACTGGGAGCCACAAATGATTTGTCAAATGCATTACAAAAGAAAGATCAAGATATTGTGAATGGGATGATGTTGGTCCAAAGATGTAAGCAAAAGCTACAATCCGTGAGGGATGATGACTTTGATGATTTGCTTGGCGAAGTATCAAGATTTTGTGGCAACAATGATATTGACGTTCCTAACATGGATGATTTATTTGTACCACAAGGGAGATCACGACGTAAAGCTTAGAAAATCACAAACCGCCATTATTATCGTGTGGACCTATTTCTTACTATCATTGATAAGCAACTAGTGGAATTGATTAATCGCTTCACAGAGGTAAATACTGAATTGCTCCTTTGTATAGCATGTTTGAGTCCGGCTTATAATTTTGCAGCTTTTGACAAACAAAAAATACTTCATTTTGCTAAATTTTACCCTCAAGAATTTAATGACCGAGACCTCATGAAGCTTGAAGATCAACTTGGGCTTTATATTATTGATATGCAGAGCAGCACAGAGTTTTCATCATTGAATGGAATTACTGATCTGGCCGAAAAATTGGTGAATACAGGAAGGAGTAGAATATACAACTATGTGTATTTACTTGTTACATTGGCTTTAGTTTTACCCATTGCAACTACTTCAGTTGAGAGAGCTTTTTCAACTATGAATATTGTGAAAACACCATATTGCGTAACAAAATGGGGAATCAATGGTTGAGTGATAGCTTAGTTGTTTACATTGAGAAAGATGTTTTTTCTTGTATTAGTAATGTAAATATAATACGACGTTTTCATGATATGAAACCTTGTCGGCAACAATTGTAGGTTAATTGTAATGTTATTTTTTTAATTAAATATGAATAACATTAGTATTGTTTAAATGATAAGTATGTTTAGTGTTTTTTTTTTTTTTTAGCCCTTAACTTTTAAAAATTGCACCTCGGCTGAAAAATTCGCTGCTGCCAACATGGGAGGGACCACTTCCAACATCATTAGTAATTATATTTGACTCCATCATGGGATGGAATCCTAGTCCAAGCTAAAGCAGAAGATTTTAATTTCTTAACAAGCCAAGCTGCCCTACATATTAATTCCAAGAAACAGACCTTAACTTGTCTTTTAGAAATACTTGTATTCAAATGTAACCAAGCAAATGTTTTCATCTGCTGCTCAATTTTATCATCCTTAACAATTTCAGAAAATCTTGAGGAATTAATGATGGGGTGGTCATTGTCTTCTCCTCCACCGAAACTGTGCCATTAAAAGAAGAAATCAGTTTTTGCCATTTCACAGGGTTCATTCCAGTCAGTGGATGAAACCTACACCAGCTACGTGATGTGGTCGAAGACTCTAGTGATCAATTATCAATATGTTAGGCCTATGGTAGAAATCCCGAAATCGATATCAGAAGTCTCCAAAATCTTTAATAATTGGATGACGGCAGGTACATCGTATTGGAGCAAAGATTCATGGGATTTTCATGGCCATCCTTTTTGAATGGGACTCTGTTACTTTTGGACCACTGAAAAAGAAAAAGAAAATGTATACTACTCAAA